GGTAAAGCAACTTAAGACCCTTCCATATATGAAGAGTATTTGATTCTACCATATCTGGGTCTTGAGAAGAAGATTTTTGAAATTTTAGTCAAATTGACCCTTTTTGGCCCCGCCCCTCAGGCCCCTGGGGGCTTGGGATTAAACCGGCCACTATTTTTGTTGACCTTTGTCCATGGAAGGTCCCTGCAAAATTTCATTGAAATTGGTTCAGGGGTTTTGGAGAAGAAGTCGAAAATGTAAATTGTTTATGGACGGACGACGACGGACAAAAGGCGATCGCTATAGGTCACTTGAGACTTTGTCTCAGGTGACCTAAAAAGTTAAAGACAACTATACTGTAACATGTGTTCTTCCTTTTTTACATATTATATGAAACAATTGCTGTTATTTTCCATCCTATGATAGATAATGATCCCAGTTTACGTTAAGTCTTGTTACACAATAAATTCACATACCTGGTTTAGAGTGTTTTCCTTGTTTGCATCAGGAAGAATCACACCATGATTTTTAGCACCCTACAAAACATCAAAAGGTTTGCAGTCATAATCTCAACACAAACGCCACATCTCTTTATTACAGGAGAATACTGATGACTGTTCAAACAAATCTCTCAACTGGCTCTTTATCTTATATTATGTATCGGTGACTGGGAAGTAGATTTGATATATTAAGTGCTATTTGAAATATAAGTATTTATATCTTGTACAGGTTCACTAAAACCGATATATTGTCTATCAAATTTTAAGACTTCATTTCAACAAAAGAATAATTAATATACAATTTACAAGAACAGCACTAATTTCCCGTGTTGACATTGACATAAGGTGTTCTGACATCACAATGACATTGATAGTAACACCATCTGTGCCTTATTCCTTGAGATACCTGGTACTAGTAACTACAGTTCTACATGGATGATGTTTCTATATCAAACACTGTTCACTTACCATATTGGACTGGACTCGTTTACCATTTATGGATCCCCTCTCATAAATGTAGGAACCCTGTTAAAAATAGAAATGTTAAGAAATGAACACAGGATCAGACATCCCTTTACATATATTTACGGCAAAAATAAATAAGAATATCAATATTAAATTCAATGTTCTGTAACAAGTGGGCTTACAAATGGGCTATTATTACATACTTATAAATACGGGGTTTTTGTATATGCGATACGACACAATTATCCTTACCCATATCAGCCCTCGCCGTATCACACCCCAAAAGCCGTGGACATTTTTCGTTTTTCAATATTTCAAAAGAAAATAGATCATAAGAAAGTAGCTTTTATTAGTAAGTATGTAACCTCGACCAATATCAGCCCTTGGACCTTCGGCTCTTGGGCTGATATTGCAGTCTCGGGTTGATACTGGGTGTGATATGGAAAAAAGCATGTATTATTCTCTATTTATTAACGTAAAACTCCACATTTAATAAAGTTGCCATTCTTCCTCCCGGGATCATTTCAACCACAGTTGTCATCATGACAACATAATCACAACAGTATTATGAGGCCAAACCAAGGGGTAATCCAACCAAACCTTTATCATTTTTATCTGACCCTGAACTATTATAGTGTTCCCTTAAATTTAAAACAAGATTGTAAATATGACAGTCCTAACAGCTGTATCCTATTTACCGGGATAATAAACACTTTTTGTAGCTATAACTTAATGTAGAACTGCTTTACCTTATCTCGTCCTTCTGGTGCATATTATGTTTATTAATAAACTATTCCATATACAGTGTTAAAGGTTTTTATATTGTTGGTAGGTTTTGTTACTGTCTACATTCCCTACCCTCCCATTAATCATTCATGCACCAGCTTTAAGAAAAGCTTCAAGAAAATTAAGAATATTAAATGACTTAACAAAACATATAGAAAATAAATTACAGCTACATCATGTTCAGATACTCACAGCTTGATCAGAGCCCACAAACGAGATAGCCTTGATATCAGGATTGTCACAGATGAAATTCACCGCTGCAAAGATTGATCAATAAAAGTAAGTTGGAACTTGATATCATAGTTTTACTTTCTACACTAACAATGTACGTATTAAACATGTCGCAACGTTTCAAGACTGACTGGTCCTTTATCAAGCGATGACTGAGTGACTAAGTTGGAAATTTCTATGAAGAATTATGGTAAAAATACCTGGAAAATGTACCATTTACAATGCTAAATGTTATTTGATCAGACCTACACCAGAATGTAGTCTTACAAAGCTGTATGTAATTAAAATGATCATTATACAATAATGTACTAAGAAAGGGGTAACATCAGCCACATTTTATGGTTCAGAATACCCGGTAATCAACATCCAGACCAACAAGATAAAGAATTCATTTAATAACATCAGGGTTATTTCAAGAAAAATAAGAATGATTTATTCAGTGCTCACAGTCATGTCTGCCATGGATGACGTTGACAACACCAGCAGGAACACCTGCCTCTTGAGCCATTTCCACCAACATCATACACGCCCCAGGGTCACGCTCTGATGGCTTCATGATGACAGTGTTACCACAGGTGAGGGCCATGGGGAACATCTGTAGGGTAGACATGTTTTACATAGATTCAATTCTGTATGAAAACTTTCACATACCAATAATGGGTAGAAACAGATGCAGTTATGGCTGGCTACTTGTACATAGTCTTGAGAAAACATAATACCTTTCTGAAGTATTCTTGTTTAATATCTGGGACATCTTCGACATGAAAGTATAAGTGCATATATCAATAGCAGTGCTTATACCTTCCCATAGTAGAATGAAGGTTGTAGTGTACTTAGCTACCCATAGTGAGATCATAGCCATAGCTTGCCTACCATTATTGGTTGTAGGTCACATACCCATAGAAGAATAAAGGTTGTAGCATACCAACCCATAGTGGCTATAGGTCACCTATCCATGGAGGAATAAAGGTTGTAGTGTACCTACCCATAGTGGCTATAGGTCACCTATCCATAGAGGAATAAAAGTTGTAATGTACCTACCCATAGTGGTTGTAGGTCATTTATCCATAGAGGAATAAAGGTTGTAGTGTACCTAACCATAGTGGTTGTAGGTTACCTATCCATAGAGGAATAAAAGTTGTAGTGTACCAACCCATAGTGGTTGTAGGTCATTTATCCATAGAGGAATAAAGGTTGTAGTGTTCCTAACCATAGTGGTTGTAGGTCACCTATCCATAGAGTAATAAAGGTTGTAGTGTACCAACCCATAGTGGTTGTAGGTCATTTATCCATAGAGGAATAAAGGTTGTAGTGTTCCTAACCATAGTGGTTGTAGGTCACCTATCCATAGAGTAATAAAGGTTGTAGTGTACCAACCCATAGTGGTTGTAGGTCACCTATCCATAGAGGAATACAGGTTGTAGTGTACCAACCCATAGTGGTTGTAGGTCATCTATCCATAGAGGAATAAAGGTTGTAGTGTACCAACCCATAGTGGTTGTAGGTCCCCTATCCATAGAGGAATAAAAGTTGTAGTGTACCTACCCATAGTGGTTGTAGGTCACCGATTCATAGAGGAATAAAGGTTGTAATGTACCTACCCATATTGGTTGGAGGTCACCTATTCATAGAGGAATAAAGGTTGTAATGTACCTACCCATATTGGTTGGAGGTCACCTATTCATAGAGGAATAAAGGTTGGAATGTACCTACCCATAGTGGTTGTATGTCACTTATATCCATAGAGGAAGAAAGGTTGTAGTGTACCTACCCTCAGTGGTTGTACGTCACCTATCCATAGAGGAATAAAAGTTGAAATGTACCTACCCATAGTGGTTGTAGGTCATTTATCCATAGAGTAATAAAGGTTGTAGTGTACCAACCCATAGTGGTTGTAGGTCACCTATCCATAGAGTAATAAAGGTTGTAGTGTACCAACCCATAGTGGTTGTAGGTCATTTATCCATAGAGTAATAAAGGTTGTAGTGTACCAACCCATAGTGGTTGTAGGTCCCCTATCCATAGAGGAATAAAAGTTGTAGTGTACCAACCCATAGTGGTTGTAGGTCATTTATCCATAGAGTAATAAAGGTTGTAGTGTACCAACCCATAGTGGTTGTAGGTCCCCTATCCATAGAGGAATAAAAGTTGTAGTGTACCAACCCATAGTGGTTGTAGGTCATCTATCCATAGAGGAATAAAGGTTGTAGTGTACCCAACCATAGTGGTTGTAGGTCACCTATCCATAGAGGAATGAAAGTTGTAGTGTACCAACCCATAGTGGTTGTAGGTCACCTATCCATAGAGTAATAAAGGTTGTAGTGTACCAACCCATAGTGGTTGTAGGTCCCCTATCCATAGAGGAATAAAAGTTGTAGTGTACCAACCTATAGTGGTTGTAGGTCACCTATCCATAGAGGAATAAAGGTTGTAGTGTACCTACCCATAGTGGGATCATGGCTGGGAAGTTGAAAGGCGTAATACCGGCCACTACTCCCAGGGGTGTCCGGAAGGTCATGGTGTCCATGTCCTTGGCAATTCCAGACAAGGTCTCCCCCAGCTGGAGGGATGGAATACTGCAGCAGTGCTCAACAACCTCTACAAGACGATTAAATCACCAACCATCAGTTTTACAGGAAGTCTAATCCCTCCACAATCTTTCAAACCAAACACTAACACTATATTTATTGTTAGGGCTTTCAGTAGGCCAATGAATGATTCTGATTACCCAAAATTAGCCTCGACTCTTGGATTTGAAATAATCCTTCAAATTTGCGGGAAATTCTTAATAACCTTAAAAAATTGCCAATTGAAAGCTTGAATTCACTGGCCAAAAAAAATCCTCCAGTATTTTATAACCTGATGATGACATTTAAATACACTTCTCACAGAAATTACTTACGTAATCCACGCATCACATCCCCCTCAGCATCGATCAGAGTTTTTCCTTGCTCTAGAGTAATGTTCTTGGCCAATTCTGACTGTAATTAAACAAGAACTGCACTTTACAGAACATTGGAAGATATGACAAAATTCTTGTAATAAAACTAGACCTATTCACCTAAATTGATGACGTTCATGTGAATTCTCTTGAAAGGAAATCCTCATTTTTGAGGAAAAACATGTTCTTTGTTGTGTAAAGTTTGTCAAAAGGTTTATTGACAAGTGTTGTATTAACTTGGTAATGGGTGAAACGAATGCCTTTAAAATGATTTGTTGAGGCTCACGAAGTCACATTATACAAATAAACACATTATCTGTAGTTCTGTTTTATCGGGAGATAAAAATGCAATAACTTAAACAGTGGAGAACATTTCTAGTTCTTCTGGAAAAGCATGTTACAACCTCGAAACCACAAATCTGATTCATCACAAATCATTATTTTTCAACCAAATTTATGGGATAAAACCTATTTGCTTACAAAGTTATTCCACAATGTGCCGGCATAGTGATAAAACAGTTGTTCTTGTGGAATCAAACTGTGTTTTCTAGCATAACCATTTCTGTCAGGCAACAAATGTTAAATGGAAATATTTAATGATTTCCTGTGAAAGTATGAATTAATCTTCAATACAGGATTGATCCCCATTACATTTACTGTTCACATTATGATGGAAATACCTGAATAGTTTTGTATTAGAAAACATAAACATACTAGAGTTATAATTCTTAAGGCTATGCTTTCACAATATTACTGAGTTGGAAGATGTATTTAGCCACGTATGTCTGTATAAATTTACTGGCATGCCTTGTTTTTGTTTTAAAAAGAAAATGTTTAGAAACAATTGTTTTCGATTTGTTTTATTTTTATACACATGTTTGCCGCAGAAATAGCCCTACTGAGCTAAAGTTTGTATGTTTCTGATATGCGATGTTAAATAAATATTCGTGTATTTTGTATCCCATACTCAATTTGACACATACTATGTTATCCTTGATGAGACTTTGGAATTTAAACATGTACTGCTGTCGAGTAAGGATGGTGGTGTCCTTCCAGGTCTTGAATGCTGTTTTAGCCACATCTACTGCCTCCTGCATCTCGTCCTGGGTGGACTCTGGTACCCTCGTTACCACCTCATTAGTAGCCTACAGAAACATACAGTAGCTAGGTCTGAACAAGCTACATCATTACTACAGAGATCACAGGTGTTTAGTACATCTATACTTCAACAGTCAAGTCTGAACAAACTAAACACGCTACATCATTACTACAGAAGTCACAGGTGTTTAGTTCATTTATACTTCAACAGTCAAGTCTGAACAAACTACATCATTACTACAGAAGTCACAGGTGTTTAGTTCATTTATACTTCAACAGTCAAGTCTGAACAAACTACATAACTACCACAGCATCAGTTCAGATTAAAGTACCATATATCCACAGATATAATTATTATTGTCAATAAAAAGAAACAACTTTCTTGTCTATTTTTTTGTGATAACATCTGTTTGTGAAATAAATTTGAATTTCCTCCCTTTGGAGTAACTCTTCAGGTATTGATGGAGGAGACTTACCGGGTTATGCACATCAATCCACTTGTCAGCTTTGGACTCCACCATTTTTCCATTGATGTAGTTCTTTGTTGTGGGCTGCCAAAAAAACCCCAGAAAATGAAAACCAAATTCAAAATATTTCAAGTAACAAACATTAACACTTGGATCACAAGAAATATCCAGATGTAATCTAACAGTAGTATAGGTCCTTAACAACCTGCTATTATAAACTTTGCAATTGATTACAAACAATATTTTCAAAAATGTAAATGTTAACCATGAGCTTATGGTTATAAGGTAAAGTCTGGATCTACATCTTCCTTTTTCAAAATGTTATTTGCCAAGATGAGCATTCCTATTAAAATTCTTTTCCTGCCTGCATCACCTTGCACAGTCAGTTAAAGCAGGTAATTAGAGATAAACATATTGGTCAATTTAATAATGGATTTATAATTAGTCCAGACTGCTACGAAAAAGTCATTAGCATCTAATTTAAGTTTTCTCTAGCTAGAGTAAACTCATCTTACCGCTGTGCTGGCATACGCTCTGGAACACTGCCATACTGCCCGGGCTGCTAGTGCCTGAAATGAAACTTAAATGAACTGAACAGAACAAGCAAGTGAAGCTACATCTTTGAAAATGCAATGATAGATTTTATAGGCCATCACTATTATGGCATTTTCCCCTACCTCAATGCATGTCAGATAGGCCTAGTACACATGTCCCAGACTGAACACTCATGTGGGAATATCCCAAATGCACTCAGGGACCTTTATTATTATGACGTCACAATCAAGATGACAGCGTTTTATTATTTCGTCACAATCAAAAGTATGTCAAAACACTGTTTGGCTGACTGTGACAGTCTTGCCTTTGGCAGGTGACACATCCTCAGGATTTTTTAAACTTACGTCCTTAAATGACCTTAGCTGTTTAGGACATTAAACAATATAAAACCAAACTGCTCTTTCCAAATATTACTTTTGTACTTTTTAAATTTGGCTGTATTTAGTGTTGCCTTTGTCAACTTTTGTCAAAATTCCGGTTATGAGATGGGAGAAAATTAGTCAATCATTGTAAGTAGGCCAATGTGGGATATTGGAATTCTACCTTTAGGTGCAAAGTTTAGAGTCAGAACCTTGGCAAAGCCTAATTTTTCCCGATTTCTGATATTATATATCCATATCCCACGTAAGATGTACCTAAGATAAGACTTATTTATAATCGTACATGCAGTAGTTAATTTTGTTATACTTTTCCAATTCACAACCCGTGCTGATGCCTTTGATTATACAACGGTATGCTGTTAAAAGTTCCTTAGCACCCCACGGCGATCCTAACAGACCTGTCTTTGTCGAATCAAGTTTTAGTACTACAGTAGATCTGTAATCTGAAGGTAAAACATTTGAGTGGAGAAAGTAGGTTGCCACGTTAAGCAGCGTGCGCGTAACTACAGTAGCCTAAGCCCGTTGTTTCATAACAGGATAACAGTAATCGTTTTTTAGAATGTGAATTGGTACTGAACATTAAAATATAAAACGTCATGTTATCACATGTATGACATAACCAAACGATAAACAAGCATGCTCATAAAACCTTTCGTTACCTCTCGGCGTACAACGCTACGGAGAAGGGAAGCTGACATTGCTGCAGTGTTAGATAGGCCTAATGTTGACCGGCAAGGTAGATAGACATAAGTGAAGGCTGCAGCTGGTGTGAGGTCCCAAGGTCAAGGGCGAACCGTGTGGTTTGGGGGTGTGACCAATCAGCTGTGAGTATTTAGGGTTTTCCTAACTGGCGAACGACAAATAAAACGGAAAGAAATTCCAATATTGTGTAATGAAGTCTGTAAACAAAACAACTAACAAATTGTAAATTCAGTAGAAACGCAATAGGGATATAATTTCTGGGAAGTAAATCCTCGGTAGCAACAGTTACATGTACTTCTGTAGAGGTATCAGAAGTAATAAGAGGCCCAATAGGCCTGCATCGCTCACCTGGAATTAATCTCACAAAATGGACTAAATAAAACTACAGTGTCTTTACTCAAAGTCATAAAAATACATACCAAAAAATTAAATCACATTTGACCCATGTGATCTTGAAAGTCGAACAAGGACATTAAGTTGATCAAACTTTATAGCCCTTCATTCCATAATGCAACTTGCCTTTGAGAAGATGACTTTTAAAGATTTATACACAATTGACCAGATGTCACCTTGAAAGTGTCAAGGTCATTCACATGAACAATCTTGATTGCTCTTCATCTGAGCATGCTGGTGACATATCACCATCCTTTGCATTTCAAGGTTATTCAGAAGAATTTAGTCATTTAAAGTTTTATGTTTTATTCTTTTGAACAAACTTTTCAAACCTTTCATCCAAGCATTCTACTGGCTAAATATCATCTTCCTAGCTATCTTTTTATTTGGGAGAAGTCTTGGTAACCTGGCGTTCATCCCAGCATATATATCATCACACTGGACCTTTTGGTAATTTAGAAGAAGTAATGTTTTAAGATTTCAACATATTTTACCCCTGTGACTTTGAATATGGGTAAAGGTCATTCTTCATTTGAACAAACTTGGTAACCCATGATCCCAGCATGGTTACTAGCCATTTACATTATTGGACTTAAGGAGTTGGTTAAATTTTGGTTTTAAACATATTTGAACCCTGTGTTCTTGAATATAGGTCAAGGTCATTCATTCAAACAAAGTTGGTAGCCGTTTACCCCCATGTATAATACATCAGTAGTAACATACACATGTATGTATAATACCACAGTAGTAACATACACATGTATGTATAATACCTCAGTAGTAATATATACATGTATAACACCTCAGTAGTAACATACACATGTATGTATAATACCTCAGTAGTAACATATACATGTATAACACCTCAGTAGTAACATATACATGTATAATACCTCAGTAGTAACATGTACATGTATAATACCTCAGTAGTAACATATACATGTATAATACCTCAGTAGTAACATACACATGTATAACACCTCAGTAGTAATATATACATGTATAACACCTCAGTAGTAACATATACATGTATAACACCTCAGTAGTAACAGACATGTATAATACCTCAGTAGTAACAAACCCATGTATATTACCTTGGTAGTAACATACATATGTATGTATAATACCACAGTAGTAATATATACATGTATAACACCTCAGTAGTAACATATACATGTATAATACCTCAGTAGTAACAAACCCATGTATATTACCTTGCTAGTAACATACATATGTATAATACCTCAGTAGTAACAGACATGTAGAATACCTCAGTAGTAACATACACATGTATAATACCTCAGTAGTAACATATACATGTATAATTCCTCAGTAGTAACAGACATGTACAATACCTCAGTAGTAACATATACATGTATAATTCCTCAGTAGTAACAGACATGTACAATACCTCAGTAGTAACATATACATGTATAACACCTCAGTAGTAACATATACATGTATAACACCTCAGTAGTAACATATACATGTATAATACCTCAGTAGTAACATACACATGTACAATACCTCAGTAGTAACATACACATGTAAAATACCTCAGTAGTAACATACCCATGTATAATACCTCAGTAGTAACAGACATGTATAATACCTCAGTAGTAACATATACATGTATAATACCTCA